CGCGTTCCTCCGGGGGCACAAATGTTGATTCCTTTGAAACTTCGGTGCCCCTTCGCTAAGGGCATTGGGGCCCAGGGGGTTTTGCTGGGGCCGTCTAGGGCCGGGGTTAGTGGACCTCATTTACTTCCGGCCCAGACCATAGTAAGAGGGGACGGAGACCCCTTCATCGTGGTCCTCAATGTGGGCTCGCAGAGGGTGGTGGTCCCACAGGGGACCGTGCTTGCTCACGCAACGCCGGTGCCCTGTGAGGAACCCGTCGCGAATCACGTCAGCGCTGTCCCTGCGCCGCGACCACATTCGGACAGCGATGAAGGGTGGCTCGAGGCGCTTTGTGCGGGATCGACGGACCTGTCAAATTCAGAGCGTCAACAACTTAAAACACTACTGCGGGAATTTTCCGACGTTCTCAGTCTGGACAAATACGATTTGGGCTGCACTCATCTGCTGCGTCACCATATTGATACGGGTGACAGCGCGCCAATACACCAGAATCCTTTTCGGTTAAGTCCTACCAAAAAGGACCATGTCAAATCGGCTCTTGATGACATGTTAGCCGCCGACATCATTTCTCCTTCCACCAGCCCTTGGGGAGCGCCGATCGTCCTAGTTAAGAAACAGGACGGCTCGTTGCGGTTTTGCGTTGATTTTCGGCGCCTTAACAAAATTACGGTTGCCGACGCATACCCGCTCCCACGGATGGACGAATCGCTTGACGCCTTGGCGGGAGCGCGATTCTTCTCCACATTGGATTTACTTTCAGGATTCTGGCAGCTTCCTCTGGACGATGATTCAAAGCCTAAAACTGCTTTCCGTATACCGCACGGCCTGTTCCAATTCAACCGGTTGCCGATGGGACTCCACTCAGCACCGGCAACTTTCCAGCGGTTGATGGAATTAGTTTTGGCTGGATTGCAATGGGACTCGTGCTTGATTTATTTGGATGACGTTATCGTCTTTAGTAAAACATTTGACGAACATCTCCAGAGGTTGCGGGCGGTTTTCCAAAAGATGCAGGCTGCTAATTTGAAATTCAAACCCCAAAAATGTCATCTGTTACGCGAATCGGTGCGTTATTTGGGACACATCGTGGGACGCTCAGGTATTGCTACCGATCCCGCCAAAACGCAGTGCATCAGCTCCTGGCCGACTCCCACCTCGGTGGGAGAGGTCAGGAGTTTCATTGGCTTCGCGTCGTATTACCGACGGTTTGTCACGGATTTTGCGACGATTGCGAAACCCCTACACGCTTTAACGTCGAAAGGGGTTCGGTTCCACTGGGGACAGGAGGAGGAGGCTGCTTTCTGCTCCCTTCGGGATGCTCTGGTAAAAGCTCCTCCCTTGGTTTACCCCGATTTTTCTAAGCCCTTTTTGCTCGACACCGATGCGAGCAACACGGGTATTGGGGGCGTGCTTTCCCAGGTGGTTGACGGCGTGGAACGGGTGGTCGCGTACGGTAGTCAGGTGTTGTCTCCTGCGGAGCAAAGATATTGTGTCACCCGTCGGGAACTGTTGGCAATTGTCTATTTCATCCAACAGTATCGCCCATATCTGTACGGTCGGCATTTCACCATCCGCACAGATCATGCGGCACTACAGTACGCCCTGCGAGTTCAACAACCATCGGGACAATTGTCTTGATGGTTAGAGATTCTCCAGGACTTTGATTTTGAAACCACCTACCGTAAGGGCGTTCGCCACACCAATGCGGACGCTCTGTCGCGCATGCCAACCACCTCCGAATGTGCATGCCTCCTGGGGTCTGGATGTTGCAGGCCTCCGGGGGACATATCGGTTCCGGTCTTGGCGGCCGCCGACGACGACAAAACATTGATTACTAATTCGATCGCACAACAGGGAAAAGATTCCCTGTTGGGGTTGCCCGTCACTGAATGGGGGCGCCTCCAGATGAAGAATACCTCCCTCCTCGGGTGGCGTCGTCGCGTCGGCGGTGCTGGGCGGGGGAGGGGTGATGCCGACGCATGGGAAATGGTGCAAGGTCTGCTGATGCATTGGAACGGGAAATCCCATCGACACCGGCTGGTGGTCCCTTCTGGGTTGCGGGGCAAGGTGGTGTGGGCCGCTCATGAGCGCCTCCTACACCTGGGGACCCAAAAGACCCTCGCCTTGCTCCAACTTGATTTTTTTTGGCCAGGCATGACGAAGGATGTCGGGGATTTATTGGGGTCATGCCCTCGGTGCGCGCAACGAAAACCGCCAGCACGGGAGTCTAACCCACCCTTGCAATCAATCAAAGTGTCCAAAGTAAACGAGCTTGTCGCGCTGGATATTTTGGGCCCATTCCCCGCCACCCGCAGGGGCAATAGATATTTGTTGACTGGTGTGGAGTATTTTACGTGCTGGCCTATGGCCTGGCCCCTTGCCAACCAGTCGGCAGCAGCCATCGTGGAGGCCTTTGTTCAGGGATACGTCCTGGACAAAGGTGCTCCGGAGCGGCTGCTGACCGACCAGGGCAAAAAATTTTCCGGCAAACTACTCCAACAAGTCTGTGAGCTCCTGGGCACGAAGAAAATTCGTACCTCCCCGTATCACCCGCAAACTGACGGGATGGTCGAGCGTCTGCATCGAACCATCACGTCAATGTTGTCACAGCAGGTTTCGGACTCACAGACCGATTGGGACCTGCAAATTCAAGGGGTCTTGGCGGCATACCGGATGGCACCCCTGCAGCTACGGGATTTTCACCCTTCTACCTCATGTACGGCCGCGAACCTGACCCGCCTGTTCGTGCCCAGCTGCAGATCCCCGCGCCGCAGGGTAAAACTAAATTGGCTGACCATGTAAAATTTAATCTGGCCAAATTAACAGAGGCACGGGATGCTGCCATGCAAAACTCTGACCTCCGTCAGAAAGCGAATGAGCGGCTCAGACTGGGTCGGGCGCACATGCTGCAGTGGAAGCCGAGGGACAAGGCATGGCTGCACTGTCCCCAGGTGCCACTGGCAACCTCCTCTAAGCTGGTGCGGCCGTGGCGGGGCCCTGTGGAGGTGGTCGAGGTTTTGCGACCGCAGTGTGTGCGCATCAAATGGGGGAAGCGACGGTGTTTCGTGCACCCCTCTAGATTAAAACCCTTCGTTGCGGTACACATCCCCACTTCACACACGCGTGGCCAAACATGTGGGGGGGTCGACCGACTCACTGGGTCCGTCTCCGTCACTCTCACCTAATGCCTTGCAGGCTGTACCACCTCCAGGTGCATCAGGAGTGACGGGCTCACGGGCGATCACCCCTCCTGGGGATGCCAAGGGTCACGCGGCGTTGGATGAGGACTCACTCCGAGACGGACAGTTGCCACCTAACGGTCCGCCACCCGGGGTTACCCCGTGTGAGGGGCCCGCTGCAAGGACGCGCGCTAAAATGCGCAGACTGTTGTGAGGCCGGAAGATGTGTACATAGGTTGTGTTCATTGTGTGTTGTGTGGGTGGTGTGTTCCCTGCTCATTGGATGTACATATGTTGGGTTCACCATGTGTTGTGTGTGTGGTGGGTTCCCTGCAAATTGTATATAGGCTGTTTTTACGGAATTCGTATTTATTCGGGGGGGGGGTGCATCGGGTTGTTTTCTCTTCTTGTTGTTGCGTTCTTGTTGTGTTCTTGTTGTTGTTCTTGTTATTGTTGAAAAATAGTGAGGCACACGCGCGGTCAGGGGGTAAATGCACTTTTATTGTCATTTTTTTTGTATGTTGGCAGCCGGGACGGCTGCAAGCTATGCGGGGGGGGGGGGGGGTGATGTAGGGGTGTTAGAGAGAGAGCCCGTTATGCATGGCAGCTTATGGCAAACAAACACAGTGGGCGGGGCTACGTGAGTGCACGGGGAGCTGCTCTCTACGACGTCTGCGCCAGGCACCCTGGGGGGGGCTGATTCGGAGTTATGATCCCCCGGGGCCCCACCCCTCAGCGGGGGGTTGGGTATAAAAGGGGATGTGTCGGAGGGCTCGGGGAAAAGTGTTAAGCTAACCAGTGAAGACTGAAGACGTCTTAGCTAGAGCCCTGGACTCCCCTGGTTCGCCGTCCTTATCAGGGCCGAACAGGACCGAGCCAGCGGCGTGGTCCCGAGAGCCAGAGCCGGTGCTCTTGTCAGAGCTGGTCTGGGACTCAGGGTACCGGGCCCGACTTACCAGTGTCGGGCCAGATAGCCTCCCCTAACCCGTTAGTGGAGGACTAGGAGGCAGGCTAGGAGTAGCTAGCGCGTGTATCCCCAGCTAGCCGGGTGAGGGGGCCGATATCCCCTCTAGTGTTGTATGCCACAACCGTGCTGTGTGAAATAAACCCGTGTGCCTCCAACTCCGGCGTCCAAGAGTCGTGAACTCTACTACACATGCAGCGAGTCGCGAAAGTGAGAGTGATGCGTCTTTGGCCCGGAGGAAGAGGGGGAGGGTGGGCTGCTGTGCCCCTACTTCTAACCACCCCTTCCGCCACTACATCTCATTGTCATCGTCATCATCATTCATATTAAAGATATATACAGTGAATGTAATGTTTATTTACGTTTAATTATGTTCTTGTGTAAAGTACTGTCTTTTTTATTCGGTGTTTAGTTAATAAACAGGAAATTTAATTGCATACCCATGACCCTGTAAGGTTTACCCCATATTCTTGTACAGGGAAATTGAGTTTTCATTTTTTTTATTGTCTATGTGTTTCTCCCTTGTGATGGTACTTTGTAGGATGAACGTTGATATTTATAAGGGCACGGGGTGACCAATAAGGTCTAAATTGGTCTATAGTAAGATAGGCACTGATATGGGGTATGTAGTTAAGCTCTGACGAGTCTGACCGTAGCTGTGGTTCACCTAACCCCCTATTTCCCATAGGCCTGTGGATTTGCCTGCCGTGGCATTTTCCAGCAAACTAACCCCTGCGATTGGTGAGGGATTGCTGTATATCAAAGTTTGAAAGCCACAAGGTGAGGCTAAATGCATTTCTGATGCTGGTCTGCTGTCTCCAGTGAATTTGTCGAGTGGTCTCTCGTGTGTCTTGCAGGATTTGTAAACTCACCGATCCATGGAATGATGAATACATATTCGAGGTCACTCTTCGGTTCTGAATAAAAACAACATGAGGTGCGTACAACAAACAGGAATTTCCACAGCAACAAAAATTAGCTTGAACCACCCTATGGACTTGCTGCTCACATGCGCATACCTTTCGCAGAAGATGAATTCGTGTGCTTTGTTTACCAGGCTCCAAAATGTATAACACTGTGTAAAGTGCATGTTTCCCTCACTTAATGGGGTTTATGTGTTCCAAAAAAAGGGAGTACAAAGCGACACGGCATGAGGAGACAGCTGCCTGCCGAGTAGCATGTAAAGTACACACAGTACCAACAATAATGTTGTACCACTTTTGACCATATAGCCGCATCTGAGTGAATTAAACCCGCATTGAGCGATTTTTTTGGCTGAAAGGTTAGCCACATATTCGCAAAATCACACAAACCAAACCCACGTCGAGCAAGATAAGCCTGTGTAGTGTAATAGCGCTGGCTGCTGGCCAGCAGCAGCAAATGTGGTGGACAAACAGTATACACGCTGGTGAGCATGTGAGCGGGTGTGTCCGCAGGAAGGTGGAACTGGGGCAAAGATCATGGAGGGCCCTATCTGGAAGCCCCTGGAACCTGCTAGTGGCTTTGAGAAGGAAGGTGTTGCCAGGGCGGAGCCAGGCCGTGCTGGTAGCATAAAAGGGGCCGAGAGCAAGAGGTTGAGGCTGCCAGTTCTGGGATTCGATCAACTCGTCGTTGCTATCATCTCGTCACCTTCGTCGCTGCCGTATTTCCTCGATATTGCGCTGCTAGATAGTTGTTGGCTGTCTCCGTCAGCGCCGTCGGTGTTAGACGGCTAGTGTTGTATATAGGCTAGCGACTGTAGAGTCTGCAGGCGAGATCGTGAGTGCATGAGCAGTCTGGTATTGGGTCGAGTGGGACTGGGTGATGGGGTTGGCTGTGTTTAGCATTGAAATATGATTTGATCAGGATCGGAATTACTTCGCAGTTGGTGGCAAATCCATGTTCTTATTGCTGGGGCATGTCCATTGCACAGAACAAGCACGGCTGACGTCCGAAAAAGTGGTATTTAATTTATCAACCCCGGAGCGACGAAGGGTTGAGTTGAACCACCCTAACGTGGTCTGAAGTTGCGCTCTAATCACCGTGCCAGATGCCACCGCATCAAGCTCGGCAGTGAGTACCGCTTATTGGGACGTCCACAGTGGTCAATTAATCTTAATTTTAGTGTAAATATTGCCCTAAAAAAATTAAGTATCAGTGTACATGACAACAGAATGAGAACGGTACAGCCACGCAATGATTTTGAGACTGGACCCCCACCAGAGAAATGTAGAATTTACACCCCTTGCTCCGGATCAGAGTGGAAATCCACACCTCCCAATGCTCTTTTATGTAAATATTATCTTACAGTGGCAATGAAACATAAACTACACAATTACAAACTAAACTATGTTTTATTTTACCAGGTACGGTCCACTAAGCTATGTAGCTCATTTTCATAAGCGACCTAGCAACAATAGTTCAACGAAGTGGCTTATCACCTGGAAATTTACAGCAGCCAAATGCCTGAAACGCATGTTGATTCTAAATGTGGAGGGAAAAACTGGAGGACTCGGAGAAAAATCCACACGACCACGAAGAGAGAGAAAAACATGCAAACTCCAAATATACAGCAGGCATCAGGGTCTGGATCGAACCCACCTCCTCCTGTATACTAGGTGAGCAAGTTAATATCTCGCCACAACGGCGTCCCATCCCAAGGCCCAAGACAAGATGCAAAACACCGATGGTGTTTCACTGAATCAGATCCGTGGACGAATGTGCTTACATCGCGGGCTACGCAATTTATGTCTGTGAGGCCTTGTGTATCTGGCGTATTGTCCACCTAGATCCGACACTGTTCATACACACGTGGACTGGCAAGTCCTTCACAAAGGATGCCGTTTCCTAGGAAGTGGACGTCACAAGCCATGTCACATTACTCACAAGTTGGTCAATGTGGTCTCGTGTCGTAGCTTTACATCCCAATTACTCAAAATATAATAGTCTATCAGACATGTCATGTAAAATATAAACGTATTTAACATTACTAAGCTCTCCAGTACTACACTACGACCGTGTCCCTGTCGTGTCTGTGTATGGATGTCTAGTTCACTGGCCCTGTGTGTTTCTGCAGGGAACGTGTGCCCTGCCACTAATCATTTTCATTCAGACACAAAGGGTCCCATAGATAGTCTCTGGTTTAGGCCAATCAATTTCAAAGACAATGCGTACACTGTAATCAAAGCATATTTTTATGTATTACCACAAGCATGATGTTTGGTTAATGCTTATTTGCATCCTTGCAATAAATATAGCTTTGTTGTTTGAACATCTTAACACCTCCTGTATTATTGCCGGAAAGGATAAAGCCTTTTCCCCAGCATTTTGATACTGGTAAAAAAAGGTCCCATAGATACGAATGCACTTTAGTTTGTGTATGCAAAAGAGATTTGAGAGTAGCAGAAGTGTTTCTGGCCGATCGTGTTCTGTCAGTGCTAGAGCGGTAAAGCTGCCCTCTGTCCCTCGCGAGCCGTTTACCTGCAGTGCTGATGATGGCTTTGGCATAGTCCGGGTGACTGATTTGCAATGTTGATATGAACGGACCAAACCACATGGGAAACACGTAGCGATACTCGCGGAACAGCTTCAAAAGATTCCGCAGCCACTGCTCATCATCTGGAAGCTGCACACAAACACGTACAAATACAAACACCCCCTGTATAGCCTTGAACAGACTGTCGGGGCAAGTGCTATTAAGGGGTACATATAAAGGCTGGCACAGCACACGAGCAGTGACCCTTCCAATCCCACACAAAGCACCTAACCCCTCAGCCATCTTCACACAGCCATGCAAGCTGATGTGACTAAGCAATACACTCATAGACTGCATGTTTCCTGCGTAGACACGAGGAATCCGCCGCGGTGTATTGCAATGGTAATCACACTGGACCTGCAATCAACCTAGAGGACACCGGTTCATCCCTGATCTCCCGTTGCGGCAGTTGAAACAATGAGGCAAGTTTTTGTTTCATTAAACTCCTTTACCAGCGCCGCCAGTGTCCACTGAGCAGAGGTGTAATTGCCGCTTGGCGGATCGCGAATTCACTTCTCAGGCACAAGTGCTGCTCGCGTATTGAGTGCTCTATGTGTCAGCAGGTTCCCATAGAACTGTGTGTGTAGTACAGCTCCGCGTGCCGTTGTGTAGTCTTGGGGCGATTGTACCGCGCACACGAGGGCACGCAACGAGAGAGCGCACAGGCAGCGCCGAGCCACCAGCAGCTATCACCGAGCCAGGCAACAAAGTTGCCTGTGCCACGGCTGATTATATCCAGAGGACGGGTCTAGGTATCGCTCGCTATTGGTGTTGGCTGTGGCCAGGAGCCAACGTCAATCGGCCTCACGTGGCCGGACGGGGCCGGCTGCCCCTTAAGCTCGCACGCGCGGCACCCGTGAACACGCGTCAGGTGGCCGCGCGGTACACGGAAAGTACACACACTACATACACAGTACATACACACTACCTACACAGTGCACAGTACATACACACTACCTACACAGTGCACAGTACATACACACTACCTACACAGTGCACAGTACATACACACTACCTACACAGTGCACAGTACATACACACTACCTACACAGTGCACAGCACATACACACTACCTACACAGTGCACAGTACATACACACTACCTACACAGTGCACAGTACATACACACACCATACACAGTACATACACACTACATACACAGTAGACACACACTACATACGCAGTACACACACACTACATACGCAGTACGCACTTACCAGGTGCCCGTAGAGCCAGTATCCTCACCACACGCTCACCACTCACCAGGTGCGCGTGCCCGTAGAGCCAGTGTGCTCACCACACGCCCACCACTCACCAGGTGCGCGTGCCCGTAGAGCCAGTGTGCTCACCACACGCCCACCACTCACCAGGTGCGCGTGCCCGTAGAGCCAGTGTGCTCACCACACGCCCACCACTCACCAGGTGCGCGTGCCCGTAGAGCCAGTGTGCTCACCACACGCCCACCACTCACCAGGTGCGCGTGCCCGTAGAGCCAGTGTGCTCACCACACGCCCACCACTCACCAGGTGCGCGTGCCCGTAGAGCCAGTGTGCTCACCACACGCCCACCACTCACCAGGTGCGCGTGCCCGTAGAGCCAGTGTGCTCACCACACGCCCACCACTCACCAGGTGCGCGTGCCCGTAGAGCCAGTGTGCTCACCACACGCTCACCACTCACCAGGTGCGCGTGCCCGTAGAGCCAGTGTGCTCACCACACGCCCACCACTCACCAGGTGCGCGTGCCCGTAGAGCCAGTGTGCTCACCACACGCCCACCACTCGCCAGGTGCGCGTGCCCGTAGAGCCAGTGTGCTCACCACACGCCCACCACTCACCAGGTTCGCGTGCCCGTAGAGCCAGTGTGCTCACCACACGCTCACCACTCACCAGGTGCGCGTGCCCGTAGAGCCAGTGTGCTCATCACACGCTCACCACTCACCAGGTGCGCGTGCCCGTAGAGCCAGTGTGCTCACCACACGCCCACCACTCACCAGGTGCGCGTGCCCGTAGAGCCAGTGTGCTCACCACACGCTCACCACTCGCCAGGTGCGCGTGCCCGTAGAGCCAGTGTGCTCACCACACGCTCACCACTCACCAGGTGCGCGTGCCCGTAGAGCCAGTGTGCTCACCACACGCCCACCACTCACCAGGTGCGCGTGCCCGTAGAGCCAGTGTGCTCACCACACGCTCACCACTCGCCAGGTGCGCGTGCCCGTAGAGCCAGTGTGCTCACCACACGCCCACCACTCACCAGGTGCGCGTGCCCGTAGAGCCAGTGTGCTCCCCACACGCTCACCACTCACCAGGTGCGCGTGCCCGTAGAGCCAGTGTGCTCACCACACGCCCACCACTCACCAGGTGCGCGTGCCCGTAGAGCCAGTGTGCTCACCACACGCTCACCACTCACCAGGTGCGCGTGCCCGTAGAGCCAGTGCGCGGGCGGTCCCGGGAAGGCGTCGAGTGCGGGGCGCGCGCGCCGCCGCAGCACCCACAGGGCGCAGCACGCGGCGCACAACAGCAGCAGCAGGGAGCCCAGCAGCTCCCACATCCTCCTCACTCCGAGCCAGTGAACTTGTGGAGGCCGACGTCCACCTCCCTGCTCCCCGTGAGCGGGCGGGGCGCGATGACCACCCCCCTCTCTGAGGGTCATCGCTACTCGGCTGGCTCACCACCGCCCGGGGTTATCTCACGCGCGCTCAAATTACAGCACCACATAAACGCGTATTTCCCTCACAAAGGCTGGCGCTGAACAAAAGAAACAGCGGCGGTATGAATATGCGCTTACCTGCGCTAAAGAGAAAGAAGCGACGGCAGACATAAATATGCACGCGTACCCCCCCCCCCCCCCCCCGAGTGGTGAAGCCTTAATCTGCTGTGCAAACAAAGGCTCATGCGAAAGGAAAAGGAACGGCGGCGGTACAAATACGCGCGCACGCCTCGCCGTTGATACTATTGTCGCTGTGTAGCGACTGCCGGCGAACGGGTTGATCGCACCCCGCCCCAATTACTCACGCAGCGCTGCAGGCGCGCGTTTTCCAAACACATGTGCGCGTAAACACGTGCAAACAACGGCGGCCGTATATGTTGCAATACACTTTCACCTCTCAAATTACCAACACCGTGCAAACGCTGCAGCCCCGCGCTCGATCTCTCGCGCACACCGTTTCCCCGTGCAGACGCACCACATACAAATCGCAGATACCATCCCGAGGTTCTACCCACACACACAGAAATCACACTGCACCGATATTCTGAACTAAAGTTTATTAATGGCGCCAATACACACTACCTGGAGGAGGAATATTTCGTGAGGAGAGTCGAGCCTAACTCTGCCTATGAACCCAGCGACACAAACGTCCTACCTCGTCCCTCGAAGCTAGACACGCGGCGTCCCACGGACGCTGAGAGAGTCGGAGGGAGGAGGATGAGAGAAGACTTGTCCTATCACTGTCTCGCAGCAGCACTCGCTGGCATCACATGGATGCTGTGAGCGGCAGGATGACAGGAAGTGGGTTGTGATGGCCCGGAGGTTGTAAACAACTGACTAAATCGTCCCCTGGCTCTTTTTATGCTCTAAACTTCAAAGGCCCAGGGGGACGTTGCGCCACGCAGCCAATCACATGCCTTCCTTTCGATTTTAAATTGATGCCCCGCCCACACCTGGAGCGTTATTTTCCGTTACGCCTCGACCCATTGTCTATGTGCCAGCCCTCTGTCCCCTTCGAGTGCTGCAGTGGCGGGGCGGGCGGTGGCGACCACCCGTGGCTTCTTTGTCTGGACGGGCTCCCGCGCTTTTGCCTATTTAATATGCCACCCTCCGTCCATTTTCGAGTGCTGCGGTGGCTGCGGCCGGCGGGCGACGGCGGACTCCCCATTGTCCCTTTGTCTGGAAGGGCTCCCGCGCTTTTCCCGCTCAATTTCCCATCCTCCATTCTCCCTCCGAGTTGTACCTCATTGCGGTTGGCCCAGAGAACCTTCCTGCGCCCAAACAATTTAAAGATAATTTAGGGGCACTGTTCTGCCTCACGACAGGTGTCTTGCCTCACGGCAGATGTGGGGCTTATGTACACAGGAATTTCCGGTTTTTGATGCTAAGTTTGGTCACGTGACCAGGAAGTTGTGATTTAAGATTCCCGCTCAACCACGCGGGCGTCGGCCATTACACCCATAATTCAAGCTGGCAGCACACATCGCGTCCAAGTGACGCCAGCTGTAATTGTCCATTGTGGGACTTTAAGAAGCATCGTCTGTAAGTTCGTTTATGTTCTTATAATACTGGGAATGCTGTTATAATGTTAGAATGACCATTATAATGATGTAAATGCCTTTATAATGCTGTTAAATTGTTATGATAAATACGAGGCCTAGTTAACAACGAAGCCTGCAACTTTCCTTATTGTGAATGTTACTTGTAATTTAATAAGTCGAGTCAAACTTGTACCCAAGTAACTTTATTGTGATCTGGAGAGCAAGGATGACGAAATGTCTCATTCATAGTGCAGTGTTATGTGTAGTACTGTACATCTGGGGTGCAGTGTGATGATAACACGGTGTGCCTTTATGTAACACAGCAGCTTATGCTCTTGTATAGCTATTCGGTGGTAATGTAGGTGCCTGGTCCATCCAGGATCTATTGTTTAGAAAGATGTTATCTAAGACAATGTTATGATGCTGTGGTGTTCATT